AAAAATAAAAGTGGTGCCTTGTACAAGCTATGCATATCATAATCCCAAACATAATCTGATATTAAGGTTTGGCATCATTATTGAAGATTTTACAATGTTTTTATAGGATTGTTGATCTTCTAGTGCTTAAAACTTTAATATTCTCAATTATATGTGGAATTTGAAGGTTGTTCCTACCCCCCTTTGCTGTACGTTTAGAACTTGTATTGTAGAGGAAAGTCCTAGGGAAGAAATGCTAAGAGGAAAAATCTGTTACTGTAGAGGTAAAGAATAAGATGAGTCTTAACACCCAAATGTCCATATCTTTGAAGAAATTTTCATAATGTATTCTACCTTATCATATCTCCTTTAATAGAGATCTTGTATTGTTTGTCAGAGTGGTAGAGGGGATTGAGAGGATTTGAGACATCATGGGTAACAAAGAAATGGTGGTTTTGAGCGAAACCATAATACACTATTCTAAATGAAAAGAAGTTTGCTTGTTTGATTTTAATACATCCCAACCACAATTGAAACTCAAGACATTGATCATATGCATTTGGTGGAGGATGATAGAGAGATTTTTAGTTGGGGGGGAAAAAAACTAATTGTAAATGCAAAAAATTGTTGGCCTTCTTGATTTTTACTAAAATGAATCTAGAACATAGATATGTTAATACAATTGTATATACTTTCTAGTATAAAACTAAAACCTGAGACATTTAGGGCATTTGTGTTTTAGGCTTGATCTAAACCATAATAGATATATACATTGTAATATATGTATGCATGTTCATGATAAGTGAATAAAGTATTTGAGCTTGTGTATGATTATGCTAGTATTTATATATTCGCGAAAAGTTATTGTCACATTACCTAATATGAATTTGCAATATTTTACAAAATATAAAAAGGTGAAGGAATGAGCTAACATGATTTTTGATTTAACTATAGCAACACATTAGGGGACAACATAAAAGTAAGTTAGGTGTTGTTGAGATGAGAATGCTTAGGTGACAACACATTAGGGGACAACATGAAAGTAAGTTAGGTGTTGTTGAGATGAGAATGCTCAGGTGGATGAGTGGCTTCACACTTAGAGACAAAAGACAAAACGAATATATCTGTGAAAGTGCTGGAGCAGCTCCAATGGAAGACAATATTAGAGAGTCGCCTTAGATGGTTTAGTCACAGTAAACGTCCCATCTGATGACCTAGTTAGGATAGGAGAGTAGGTGTTTTAGAATTGACATATGTTAAGAAAGGTAAAGGTAGACTTAAAAGGACTTGGGCATGTTGTATAAAAAAATAGCTTAATTTATTAGAATTAATTAAAATTATGACACTTTATAAGACATAATGGAGAAAAAGGATTCATGTAACCAATCTCACTTAGTGGGATAAAGGCATGTTGTTGTCATTGTTTTTATTGTACTATTGAATCTCTTTTCAGTTAAGGTTTAGTGAAAATATTTGCAAGTTGATTATTTAATCTTTGAGCATATAATCATTTGCTATGTGATTTCTAATGATGTAACGTTTGGTCTCTTTTTGCTTGGTCATAGAGTGCTATTCAGATTCTTTGTATGATTAATTGCTCGTGTAATTGTATTTGTTGGTTATATGCTCAAGGTGAGTGTCATAATCTTTTAGATATTGCTTTAGTCATAGGATTTGTGGAACACATTTCACTGCATCGACATAGCCAACTTTTGTACTTGACAAAACAAGTAAATTTTGTTTTCTACTAGATCAAGACACGAGTAGTCTGAGAATTGTCTTGTTCTTGAATGGATCTTTTTATCTACTTAGAACATTGCATAAACAAATCAATGAGTGAGTTCCTAGAATAATTGATGCTGTATAATCAAGAGTTTGTATTGATAAAGAGTGCATCAAGATGCTAGATGATCACCATTACCATCACCATCATTCCAGATTTTGAAGCAAAGGAGCTTGATCTTGACTTAACTAGCTCCTTCATGGTGGAATTTGATACTCTCTCAAATTTCAACCCATTTACACCTGCTATACATTGATGATCTATCCTATTCTCTCCAAGCCATTAACATTTGTAATTTAAAATTAAATTTTTCTTTGAACGCCCTTGGTCGACTACTCCGAAGGACATGAAGATTTGATTGCAATGAAACCACTCTCCTTTCTAATTTAGATTGGTTCTACCCTTTGTGAAAATTAATGTATTTTTTCTTCTTGTACTCACTGTAGAATATTGAATGAATCACAAAATTTGCTTGATCCTATGGAAAAGTTTTGTGGAGAATTCTTTTGTACTTTGATAATTTTAACTTATCTTTATGTTTATTGATTTCATTGTTTTCTACATTTTTCTTATTATTCCCTCCAACCCTAGAAATCTTCTCGCAACTTTCTAAGGCTATTCATCTTCATGTCTCTCCACCTACATAACAAAAATCTTAAAATTAGTCTTCTCGAGTCCGCTCATCACTTCCCAAGCCTTTACACTTCTCTTCCTCAGTCCTAATCCTAATACTACTTTCTCCACTCTCAACCAAAGCCCTCCCAAGCATCTCTAAATCCTCCTCCACTTGTGACCACTAAAATTTAATTTCCCAATACCTGTATTTCTGGACCAACCTATAATCTACCCCAAATCATAACTTCATAAATCTCCCACTTATTTAATTTCTTCTCTTTTCAAGCGACCACCAGACAACAACTTTTGTCTTCTCAAGATCCTCCACTCCAACCCATCAAATTGGTATTGGAGTAAGGCTCCAAGGGTGGTGTACGTTGGATAGCATCTCTAACAAGTAGTGATCTGATCTTCAGTTGTAGGTAACATCTATTTCCCTGCTTTTTAAATTTATTTACTTTGGGATATGTATCTTTGCAATTAAAAATCTAGTATATTGTCAAGTTGTTTGGCAACTCAATGAATCAATGTATTATATACTTCCCTACTTTTTAAATTTATTTACTTTGGGATATGTATCTTTGCAATTAGAAATCTAGTATATTGTCGAGTTGTTTGACAACTCAATGAATCAATGTATGATCCCCTAGTTATTGGCACCCCTTACAAGCCAATTCTAGCATGAAATTTACCTATCCCTTTGATATTTGAGAGTCACATGTTTGTTTAAAACATAAAAAGTAATATTACATTTGCTTATTGTTTGCTTATGATTTAAAAGTAAATGAATGTTTATTTATAGCATGTTTACATACATAACACTGAATTCTTTGCTTTTAAATTTCACACAAGTTATTTTCTTTGCTTAATTCTTAAATTGTAAATCACATAAAAAGTATCACTACTTTATTTACTTAAAGTAAGTATACATTTTTATGCATATATTTTGATGTGATTTGGACACTGGGCTGTTATATAACTAAATAAAAAGATTTATGTGCTAGATTTATAAATATATATGAATTTAATTGTATACTTGTGAATTTTCTTTTCATATTTGTGAAAATTAGTTGCTTAACAAGTGCTTGAAGACATTAATAGGGTAGTTACTCATTTTGCTTCAATATTCCACTCTGTATGTTGTTGAAGATAAAGGAAACTGGGAGCAATACTTTTCGTTTCTGTTATTTTAACTCAAATACAAGAAAATAGGTGCATAAATAGTTGGACCAGGGCGTGCTCGTTTTAGTGCAATACAGAGAGTTTCCTGACTCAACTAACGGAAAAATGAAAGCAATGACTAGCAAAAGTTAGCCCAGCTCTCTAACCATCAACTTGTAAGGGGAAAGGGAAAAAGGCAGTCCTCAAACTGCAGGTAATAAGAAGGAAAAAAATGGGCTGCCCTCAGTAAACATGGTACCAATGGCATGATATTAACATAGATGATTATCTGGACATTTAGCAGTTTGAGACTTCCGTTTGAACTGGTAATCTGCAGTAGACATAGTTGCTGTTCGTTTCCCTATTTTCGGTGAAAGGTGGGTTTTGTAATCTGTTTTCAGTACTTTATTCTGTCAGAATTTGCGTGGTTTATTAGCTTCCAGCTTCCAATTTCACAAAGCTGGATTTTAGCTTAGTTTTTCTCCTGCTATGTGCTAGACCCTTGCCTCGGATCAGATTAGGTTTGCGTGCTGATCAAATGTGGTGAAAATCACCATGGTTTTATAAAAATGTTAAGATATTGCGTTTTGATCATATTGTTAAGGAATAAATGAATTTTGTTTGCTGTTTCAACACTAATATTTCCTTCATTTAAGACTGGTCAAAAGTGAATGCTGTATTTACTTGCAAAATGATGTAAACGGAATTTGTTAACTATTTCTAAACTCCATTTATGGTTGGCCAAAAGATTGTCATTTTTTATTATAAAATAAAAGATTAACTACCTTAGATACCATTGACGTATGAAAGGTTATGTAATAGCATTGATTGTATGGAAATGCATTCCCTAGTTATTATGAGATTTTAATCAGTTGACATTGGCCCCATTTATCATGCTGTACGTTTACCAACCATGTTCTTATTTGCTTGCTTTTCTGCAAGTCAAGTAAACTAGCTCTAAAACTAGTAGGATTCTAATATTTGCTTAAAAGGTTGATGGCTAGTTCTGACAAGGCCAAAGAAAATAAATGACGATGGTGGAGAATAACTTATGTAAAGTCAAAAATTATTCCTAAACTAATTTATTCAAAGCACCGTCACAACGAAGTACCTTTTGATGCTATTTGCGCATAATTTTGTAATAAAAAAGAAAACAAAAATAATTTGCGGAAGGCTAGAAATGTTGGCCATTGAGAACATTTTCTTTAGGATAATGCTTTCTGTTTTAATATATTTTCAAAATGGTATGATAGAAAAACCATTTTTTCTTCATTTTTAGCTATATCATTTATTGTAAAAGAGATGATTTATTTATCCTTTATCTTTCAAATGGGTAGATTTGCCGTCAATGCCACCTGTTGGATTTATCTTCTTTGTGAAGTTTTACGATATTGCACATGTGTGGTAAAAGGGGTTAAACTTTATGGTGCATACTCATTGATTGTCATTTTTCTATTAATAGGAAGTGATGAAATGAAGACATTCAATCCATTGCCTGTTGTTGATGATGAAGACATGAGGTTCCAGGAAGATCTTGAAAAGGCAGTACGCCAAAGCCTTGGTTTGTAAAAGTTTTTTCAATTCTCTGTATTCTATTTTCATCTAAAATTTGAGTAGGCAGATGTAGAATCATATTTTGATTTTGCAATAAGTCCCTCCAGTATTTTTTGTTGATTCATCTTGTGTTTAGTTTATTTTAGGATATCTTCATGATTATCAAAAATGACATCAAAGAACTTGTCAAATTTTAACTCTTGGAAGTTACATATTTTATTGTTTTGTCTACTTCATAAGCTTCTTGAATTTTTTGATTATGCGCTCATTATTCCAAACTTACAGATTTTTATTTGTTTTGACTTTTTTTTGTGGTTCCTACCAAGCTTGTTATCATGTCCGATTTGCTAGCTTTTATGCCGACAAGTTAACATGACTTCTTGTTATAATATTCTGTCTGCTAGCTTTTATACCGACAAGTTAACTTGACTTCTTTTAAGGCTGTGAATTTGGATCGAATTTTAAGTAGCTTAAAAATTAGATCTGTTTTTTTGGTTCTATTTAAACTCTACAAGTACAGCTCAAATTGAACTTAGTCCGAATCAGTTCAATCTAGCTAGAGAGCAAATTAGCACACACACACTCACATACAGTTTTTTATTTAAATTTATGAGTCCGTCTATATATTAAGTGCATGCTTGTTTTTTCTACTAAACCTTTTTTTGTGTGAAAAATTTAATCTAGGTCATATTTATTTTGGCTTGAATTAAATTGGGATCAAAGTTAAGGTGACATGTCTGGCTTGAGTCAAGATTGTAAGGAATCAACCTATAACCAAACTTATCTCAGGTCGAGTTTAGATTGAATGACTTCGAGCCAATCTTAAGTTAGGGTCAAATTGGCTTGTGATCGAATACTAAATAAGCATAACTATTTGTAAAAATTCACATTAATAAACCTAAATTGGACAGAAATATCTTTTTTTTTTAATTGTTGATTCTTTTATTTGAATCTTATGGTTTCTGTGCAAAGTACTTTCCATCTTTTCATATTTTTTTATGACTCAATCAAGAGAATATATTTGATACTCTTTTTAGTCAATTCTATTGTTGCATTTTAATTCTCTTGGGCTTTATGTTTTGTGCTGCATGTTTGCTTATGAGGTCCTATCTATGCTGAAAATTTTTCTCTATGCACCCTTTTATTACTCCTACTGTTGTCGATATCAATTCAGGTAAGCTTAGAATCCATCATAAATTTATAGTTGTCGTGGCTAAATATGAGTGCTTTACTCTCATATTAGATAATTATTTTTGCTATTTTATTTTTTATTTTATATATTGGTTTTTATTATTTTGTTTCCAAGTTAATTGCTTTAATTAGTTTTTCAAATTGCTAAGTAACCTTGTTTGGGATCACTTTTATTTTCTATTTTTATTTTTGTTTTTATTTTGTTTTTTGTTTTATGTTTTTGGAGAATGCCTTTGATGCTGTTATGATTTCTATGTATTTAAAAACAAAAATTATAAACATGTTTGGTTGGATATCTTCCATTTCTTAATAACAATTCCCCAACGCTGATACTTCAATTCCTATTTTTCCCTTCTCCCCTTTTTGTTTTCCTGTTCTTTCTCTTGTTTCTGCAGCACGTATCAATGCCCCTTTTCTTCCCTATAAATAAACATAAAGAGATAAATTCGGGCATCAAATTTTTTCTAAAATTGTGCACCAGTTCTCATGCACCCTTGCCCCAAATCTTACATCCCCTTGTATTGGTATCGAACGCAAAAGTAAATCTGGTGTATTCGGGCAACAAACTCCTACATTCTTCCCGAAAAAGCCGAAACAAGCTAGAGAAAGTGGGCTTTAGGAGATCTCAAATCAGAGGGTTTTGTTACAAACCTTGTCAGTTGAAGCAGGGGGTAGAGGAACGTAATCTCTCTGTCATACGTCGTCAAAACGGGAAGCGGAAGCCTTGAAAGGACAACCAAAGCTCTCCTTTTGCTTCAAAAATGGAAGGCTATTTTTATCAAGCGACAACCTAAGGCTAGCGTTTGGAGTGAATTTGGAGAAAAGATATTGTTTTTTATTGTGTATTTACAAACAAAAAATATAAAACATTTTTGGTTGGATGTCTTCTATTTCTTTTAATAACAATTCCCTAGCGCTGATCGTTCAATTCCTGTTTTTCCCTTCTCCCCTTTTTGTTTTCCTATTCTTTCTCCTGTTTCTGCAGCACGTATCAATGCCCCTTTTTGTCCCTATAAATAAACCATAAAGAGATAAATTTGGGGAACAAATTTATTCTAAAATTTTGCACCAGTTCCCATGCACCCTTGCCCAAAATCTTACATCCCCTTGTATTGGTATCGAATGCAAAAGAATACCTAAAATCTGGTGTATTCGGGCAACAAATTCCCACATTCTTCCCGAAAAAGCCGAAACAAGCGGGCGAAAGTGGGCTTTAGGAGAGCTCAAATCAGAGGGTTTAGTTACAAACCTTGTCAGTCGAAGCAGGGACGTAATCTCTCTGTTGTACATCGTCGAAATGGGAAGTGGAAGCCATGAAAAAACAACGGAAGCTCTCCTTCTGGCTAAAAAATGGAAGGCTATTTTTATCAAGTGCAACCTAAGGCTAGGGTTTGGAGTGACTTTGGAGAAAAGATATTGGGATTGGGTTTGAGCGAGGGAGGTGCAGAACTTCCACAAGAGCATCACCAAAGAAGAATAAAGACAAAACTATTCTTTGAGCTTCGAAAAACATGTTTTTGAAATAGTGAATATACAATTTTTGTGTTTTTGATGTTTTGTAAACACTCCTTATGTGTTTTAACAACAAAATTAAAAAAAAAACAAAAAAATGAATAAACAAACATTATTTTTTTGGTTTGTTTTCAGTTTTTTATTTTCAAAAGAAAAAAAAAACAGAAAAAAGAAATGGATACCAAACAACCCTTAAGCATAATGTGATGTGTAAGGGTATTTTTTTGCTTTAATGCACAAATATAAAATGAAGCGTTAGTATTTTTCTTAGCTAAAGTGCTCATGACTTGAATATCATTGATAAAATAAGAAGGGGAAAATAACAGGGAATCGTTATCTGTTTCTGCATATTTTCTCTGTCTAAGAAGCTTTTTTGAGAAAAAAAACTTGCATGCTCTAAATTATTTGCTCCATTGACAAAAATCAATGAGAAGTGGATAGGAATAACTGCGAGCAAGTAAGAATAACTAAATGAACCACATAAAAGCAACTAGCTCTGATGGTGGAAAACAAAGAACCAACTTTTAACACCTCAATCTCCATGATATATTTAGAGTGGAAACAATTATGCTCTAGTTAGTATTGTGGATATTGAATTGAACTATGAAGTGTCGTTTTGTGTCAAAGCCTAGCATGCAAAGTGACGTGATGTGTTAAAGATCGTATTTTGCAGTCAAGCAGTACCTTTGCTTCAAAAGAATAGTTTAAAAACACTGGTTTCATTTTATCTTCTTCACAACAATTGGTTATTAGAGTCAGTGGCTTGTACCGTGTATAGGCTTGGTAGATTTCTGATGCATGTACATGGGGCTGCTATATCAAAATGAAGGCATTCAGGAGTATTGTATATATGAATTAATTTGAGTGCTATTTTTCTTAACGTATACAAGTGGAGAAGAGAGAGACTTGTACAAGCATGCAGTCAAAATACCAAGTGAAGGCTTCAAGGAGTATTGTATATATGAAGTAATTTGAGTGCTATTTTTCTTAACTAGGACAACGGGAGAAGAGTGAGACTTGTGCAAGCATGCACTCGAATAACCCTATGAAACCATGGGGCTCACGGAGGAGTGATAGCAGGCCAATTTTGCATTCTCAAACGATTGATTCATAAGACTCTCAATGCCAACAATAGAAGCAAAGCAATTTTTTTATAGCTTGAGAAATGAATGCTTTGATGAATGTAAATTCAATGTTGTAAAAGAACTCAATGTTTAGGGCAATATGGGGAACCGATTCATGAGGTCCCCCACCTTAGGTGCTTACCAGTTGAAATGAGGTGCTTAATATGAAATATTCTATTACTTAAAATAAATCATAAGCATGATTAACAGATTTTAAGAAATGAAATGAATATTTTTTAAGATTACGAAGTGGTAATCATCACATTAACTAAGTTGGGAAGAGTTATGAATTTGCAAGCCTCGTGTAATTTAAATTCAGAGTTCTCCGTAAATAGATTATCTTAATTATGCTAAATAAACTCCTTAATTTTCTACTATGGATGACAGATATTTTAATATTTCATTTTATTCCATCCTTTTCATCATTCATGCTTTCTTTCTTTTAACAAATTTCGTACCCTCCATTTCTCTCTATTGTCTTTTACTTTTATTCAGGATTTGTCATTTTTGAACTTATTGCTCTGGTGCTTACTGTTTATGTAACTTTTTTCCAACCACACTTTGTTTTTAATAGTCTTGCTCGTTTTGTATCATCAGCTTTTGCTACTTTATCTTATAAAAAACTAATGCTTGTTATGCTGCTCCAATAAAGAAGAAAAAGTTTGTTTTTGATCAAGTAAAAGATGTATAACATTATAATATATAAATTTATTCTATTGATGGACTTCGAAAAAAAAAAAAACCAAAGGTGTGTTTTTTGCTGTTTATTAAACTAGTGAGGAGAGTACAAAAAGCAAGTGATTGGATAGGAAGAATGAAAAAAGAGGAGACGAGAGATATTGAGAGAGATGAAGAAATGCCAGTGAAATAAAAGTGAGAAAAATATATGAGTGTCAAATATTTGTATTATGCATGCATCTCTAGGGTGCTAGATTGTTATCTCTGTTCAGTCATGGATAGAGGTTAACATTTCCAAACCCAGTAAAGTTTGCTTATCTTATGTTGTGTTTTTCTTGTGTATTATGTCCCATTTTTTATCATACTATCGTTCTTGAGCTTGCTTTTTCCTCATAATAAATTTATGAACTATATGTGATTTGGCTGTTTTTCGCACTTGTGTATTGAACTCAACTTAGGTTCCCCATACTTCCCCATCTTCTCCATTCACAAACACAATGACAATAACAACTCATGTTTTTCTAGTCTTGTTAAATTTTGTCTCTTGAGTAGCTTTTGTATTAATTTTATGAGCTCTTGAGAAAGGATCATTTGGCAAAGTGCTACAAATTTCACCTAGTGCCCTTGTCATCTTTGTTGTGGCTGTGTTTTTCTGTGTAGTTTTACAGCGATAAATGAAATTTTGGTTTTTTAAGATAATTTTTTTCCCCCTGCTTATAACCTTCCTGCATGAACCTATCCGATTCCACTAAACACAATGACAATAACTTATGTTTTTCTAGTCTTGTTAAATTTTATCTCTCGAATAGCTTTTGTATTTATTTTTTGAGCTCTTATTTGAGAAAGGATCATCAGGCAATTTGCTACAAATTTCACCTAGTGCATTCATGATTTCTGTTATGGCGGTATTTTTGTGTGTATAGTTTTAGACTGGTAAATGAAATTTTGGTTTTGTAAGATAATTTCTTTTTTCCATGCTTATAACCTTCCTGCATGAACCAATCCATTTCCACTAAATCCATCTTCATAAAAATGTACCGTTCAAATTTTGCAGGTTGTTTCGTGAACTAGCAATTATTATTATTATTGGCTGTCTGCTTAGTGTGTTGTTATTCCCATGATGTCTTATGTATAATCTGCAATAGTTCTTTCAACCTTTCTTATTTGGGTAGCTGAATATTGATAACTTTTCAGATTCTTTTCAAGCAGAGAGGAAATTACCTCAGGCTTCTGTCGTAAGATCGTCTCAGCAAGGATCTTCAGAGTTGGGGAACCCTGCTAAGGAAACTGATATTGCTTTGACTGACAAAGATGTCTATGGGACAGGTCTGACAAATGCAATTGGTGAATATAATTGTTTTCTGAATGTAATTATTCAGGTACGTATGCAATTTCAGTATTTCCATGTTTCTAGTTAATATGTTTGACTAATTACTCTCTTTGATTCTGTCAAACTAGTCATTGTGGCATTTAAGGAGATTTCAAGACGAGTTCTTGATGAGATCGTCAGTGCACGCACATGTTGGGGATCCTTGTGTTGTCTGTGCACTGCACGATATCTTTGTTGCTTTGAACGAAGCAACTCGGGATAGCCAAAAAGAAGCTGTTACACCTACACAATTGCGGATAGCATTGAGCAACTTGTATCCGGACAGCAATTTTTTCCAGCAGGTAACTGTTGTTTAAATTTCAAAAGCTTTTTTAAAGAGGTTGACTGGGTCTGGATTTTGTCATTTTAATTCTGATTCAGATATTTACAAGATTGGCCGCCTTTAATTTTGCAGCTTGTATCCGGACTGGGTCTGGATTTTGTCATTTTAATTCTGATTTAGATATTTACAAGATTGGCCGCCTTTAATTTTGCAGGCTCAGATGAATGATGCTTCTGAGGTGTTAGGTGTTATCTTTGACTGCTTACACAAATCATTCACAAATGCTGCTCAGTGTGACACTGAATCAGAAGAAAGCAACCATATGGGCATTTGGGATTGTGATAGCTCTACTTGTATAGCACATAATCTCTTTGGAATGGACATATTTGAACAGATGAACTGTTCTAGCTGCAGGATGGAGTCAAGACACTTTAAATATACCACTTTTTTTCATAATATCAATGCGAGTGCGCTCAGGACAATGAAGGCATGATTTATATTTTCTTTTCCTGCTAGCAACCTGTTATGTTAATACTTTTTTTACATTATTAGTAAACTTCAGGTTTCAGTGGACCATTGGTCAAAACTCTCATTTCTGCTTGTACAGATTATGTCTGTGGAAAATACATTTGATGAGCTTCTAAAAACTGTGGAAATGAATCATCAGTTGCCTTGCGATATAGAGGTTGGCGGGTGTGGAAAGTTGAATTCTATCTTTCATATCCTTGCAGCACCACCACATGTTTTTACAACGGGTAATTTACAGGCCTCTAGACTGTTTCAGTGTACTTTTGAGTTTTGATCATGTCTGTAATGATTTGCTTAAAGTTTATTGGCCTAACTGAGAAAGTGTAAAGTAGCTAGAAATCATATGATATTTATAGACATCAAAGTTTTGAGCTAAAGTCAGAACTAAAGGATGAGACTTCATGATTCAGGTGGTCAAATCTGGTTCAGATGAAAAAGTCAGCATGAAATTTGGATTTTTATGAACCATTTCTGTCCCTTGACTTGTCATATGGCATTTGCATGCTTATTTTTTACATACTGACTTTATGTTAAAAATCAGTTGCTTTTAATTATAATTTTTTGCTTTTGCAGTTTTGGGATGGCAGAATACAAATGAAAGTATAGATGACATTGCTGCTACCTTGGCAGCCATCACAACTAACTTAGATATCGGTGTCTTATACTGTGGTCTCAACAAAGGAAGAAAGCACTCTCTGGTATCAGTGGTATGGCTTAATTTTTTTATCACAGTTCGTTTTTTGTTTGCAGATTTGATCTTTGTTTTTTTACTATTTTACCTCATATTCAAATGAATTAGGAGATAAAACCTTTTTTTTTGTTAGGTGTAGGAATAAATTTGTTTAGGTTATTATTGGCATTTGTATTGATGTTGGTATTAAAATGGACATTTTGATCTTTAGCTTGACTCTCATGTGGGCAGCACATGGTGAATGCCAGCGTCACTTTTTCCTTTTCAAATATTATGATGGGTTGCAGATGAATGATGGGAAAATAACATCAACAATTTTTGTTGGATATAAATGAATCTTTGCCCGTATGTTGCTAGTTTTTGTTTTCTCTTAACTTTTTATGTCAAACTAGTTATGGTACTAATTTCAGCAAGTAGTGTACTATTGGGTTAGAATATTTCATGAGCCAAGCTATACGTGTGCATGTTATGCACTACTCTCCATGAAGTAGTTCGTTATGGCTGCTGTTCTCCAACATAATAGGGATACATTTTCTACTTGAAGTTCTTGTCCTCTGACAGTTGGTGAATCCTCGGACATCTCATGAACTGGATACACTCTCATGAAAGAGTTCATGAAGGAGGCCTTTTATACTTGATACACTCACATTGGACCAGCAAAAACTTAGATATAGAGGCACATTGTATCCAGAAAATTTTATTTCCCCTTGTTTTCTTTTTTCATTTCTGGGATCCTAGTTTTACAAAGTTTGGAGTACAGGATACTCATAAAATAGGGATGCCCCATGCATCCCATCATTGATTTGGTTTTAAATCTATTTTTTCTCTGTTTTAATTTTTTTTTAATCTCAGCTCCGTCACTTTGGCCGTGGTGCTTTTATTTTTCATTTTTTTATGTTAAATACATTCCCATGCATGTGCATTACTCCCTTTTACAATACTGCAGTAAATAATATTATTCCCCTTAGTGATCTACGCTTTTAAGATTAATATTAGGTTTGCAGTACTGCAGTGTTATCTGTTTTTCTGCTTCTAATCTACCAGTGAACGAAGGTGAATCTATGAAGATGAGATAGGGTAGAATAGTCTTGACTGATTTGAGCATGTAAAACTTGTTGATATAGTGGTGTTGAGAGATTAAAAAGAAGAAGTGGTGGATCAACTGTAATATGGATAGATGTGAAGAAAGCTTTATGCAAAATAGTTTTAGTAGCCTTCCAATGGAGAATGATGATTTATAAAGCGGACCCCAAATTAATGGGATATAATGATGATGTCTGAAGATGATCCCCACATGTTCCAGAAAATTAGTACACTCCAGATCAATTTTTTTATTAATAAGCAAAAAATAGTATTTGAGAAATCTCGGAAGTTATTTGGAATTCACATTAGTGTTGAGCTCTTAAAATGCCGCTCTTAATTTGAAGAATTTCATTAATATTCAACCATCCATTTGTGAATATATGATGACAATTCCTATAAATGCCGCTCCTTATTATTCAGCCATATTTTTTCGGGAATTCTGATGGTCTAAATGATCCCGCTAATTCAATTTGTTTCCATTGACATACCCTACACTCAATTTGGGATTTCTGGAATTCATTATACCGCTGTCTGATTTGCATAGCTGCTATTCTACATTTTCAAATAGGTATTGGGATTACATGGAATTAATGGTTTTTGGTTCCCTCATGCGGAGGATCTCTTATACCTTGATTTATTGTTTTTTCTTATGTCTTTCTTTTGATATTTTTCCTGCTTTGTTTAGTTTTTCCTCGGTGTTGCCTTTTTATTTTTAGAAAATTTTATTTCTCCCACAGTTAAAAATTTAAAAAAGAATAAAATTTTTATTCTTTGTTTTCTAAATCCTCTCTTTTTTTTCTATACGGTGTTAGAACCAAATGTTTGATTCTATCTTTTTACTCTAATCTGTTAATGATTAAATATTGAATGATTTCTGATGGATTCTATAATTGCTACGGCACCTCAATATTTGAATGGATGATTTATAGCGGTAGCAATGGTGGCTAAAAAATCCCACCCATCCTCCTATCCAAGTGGGCACAAACTGAATGGGCAAAATAATCTGTATTGGGCACAATCACTAATGATGTTCATGTAGAAGAGGCAGGGTTCTTTATCTTACTTCAGGTGTCTTCCCACCTAAAGAAGAAGATACCCAATTTAGACGGGAGATGCTATAAATAAAATTGTGACCGATATCTTGAATGAAATCAGACAAATTTCATGTTCTGTAGAATTGCGAAAGAAATCTATGATGTCGGCTGGCAGGGTGACCTACTTAGATAATGAACTGGAGTTGTTATAAACAGAATTATGACCAATATCTTGGATGACATTAGCAAAATTTCATGTTCTGTAGAATTGCAAAAGAAATCTATGGGTGACCTACTTAAATAATGAAAATATTATAAGACTCCTTAAAATCAGAGGTGCACTTAATGATCTTTGACAAGGTGATCTTTCTGCCACTTAATTCGATAATATCCTCATTGGTATTAGCAACAACTATATGTATTTCATGTATTTCATGAACTTGATTGAGAATTCCCAAATGAAGCAACCATCAAATTTCGGTTCAGACTTTAAACCTAGATGAAGTTAAAAAAAGAATTTTTGGAATAAAAATCTTACAATTTATTCAAATATTGAAGAAAGCCACAAGAAATTTATGTTGTAAAATGGAGTTGAATTATGTATCAACTCTCCTAGATGGGCTGACTCTTATTACAAAAGGTACACATGTTTCCAATCAACATTTGTTCTTGAAATAACTAGCCTATTATTAATTCAAATGACCAGGCTTTGGTATGATTATTGCTGCTACACGTAAAGGAAACATACTGGAAGCTTCATGTTTAGCCTATTACAAAGTTGAGCAATGAACTTCCCAACAAATGATCTGATTTTTGTGCCACAAGTGTTGATCAACTAAAACTAAAGTCCAATCCGTTTAATATATAACAATCTGACACGTTACAAATGATGTTTACTTAACAATTTAAAATTTAAAACTGTGCAATTGGGCTGTTTAATATAATTTTTTTTAGTAAGCAAGGCACAAACCCCAAGGATTTTAGCGCCTAAATCTTAAAGTTAAGCCATTTAATTAATTGAATTGATGAGAAATGAAAAAAATTGAAACTAATCTAAAATGTTCAAAACAATGTCAATTAAAAGTCATATATGCACTCAATATCAAACAATCTAATTGAAATAAATAAACATAAGCAAGAAGTTTAAAATTATGAAATAAACAATTCATAACTTAAATTGTTTATGAATAGGACTCCAATTTCAATATTCTCACTCTTCAATCACTTAAAGAATATTCAATTGAATTATCAACATAGTTGATTGCTTTCTTTCCTCTCACATCCTTTTTTTCTTAAAATCAAAACCATGCCAATTTTCTTTTACTTCATCTTTTTTCCTAATTGACATCCAATGAGAATATTATTTTAAGAAATTACTATACTGATCATTCTATGATGTATTTTACATAAACTTTTATATTTACCGTTTATGTTGCTTTTTTCTCAACTTTTGATGTTTTTATTCCTTCCATTGAAATCTCTCTTATAATTGTGGTGGTGAAATATTTTTTTTATTCTCTTGAAACTTTTCGTCATCTGATGTTATGTCATTAATAACCTAGGGATCTCCATCATCCATGAAATTGTTTTGTTACATGTTTATGGCACATCTCAAATAATTTAGGCATGCCCACTTTCTCTCATTTTGGAACATAAACCTCAAGAAACTTTTCTGTGCATCAACTTGAGGCAACCTACTAGACACACCTCAAATTTTGTAATTCTAAACAATACACTATAACCAATTCCTATTGTGCTTGAATCAACAATGGTTCAGTGTCGGTCAACTTTTTCTTCGATTGATTAATTATGAAAAATATGGTGTATGAAAATAATTTTTGAGATTTAATTTAAATATAAAAGATATATAGTTTGAGTTTTAAAAGTAGTATGTTTTAATTTTTGAAAAATGAGACCAAATGGATCTCATTAGTCTGATAGTTTGCATAATCGTGCCCCCAACAATCTTTAAATCTAGTTCTCTTGGTTTTTATCTTTTCTTGTAATTTACTAGCAATCGATAAAACTAGAAAAAATATAAATTGTGTTAAATTCTATCCTTCTTACTGTGAATTTTAGGATTTGGAGTCATGCAATATGATTGATAATATTAAGGAAATTGTTGCTTTCAACTTAGATATTGAATATTGTTTTAGAAAATTAGGTGAAAATGCTTAGTTTGTTTCTTATAAGCCTCTATTCCTAATAATGTTAAGTAAAATTATTGTGTCACTTCTGTTTTGGTTATAGAAGCGAGCATCTTAAACAAGTGTTCCCTTCTTTCTTCATTAATAAAAGTGCAGGTTCAACCCTAAACTTTTTAAAAGCGCTCATTGCTCTTGTACTATATGTAGAAGAAGTGACTAGAAAAACTTAGTTCAATGGAACTACACTCACAAAAAAGAAATAAATAATTACAGTAATAAACTTAAAAATCACCTTTTGTTGCCTTCCGCTTGATTATTTAGGATCATCGATTGATGTCATGAAGCAAATCCATGGGCTCTGTTTTCTTTTTTTGTATGTGAATCTATGTGAGAGATATTTTCTTATAACCAATGAATGAACAACATCTAATTTTCCTTATCTAGATCTTATTGATCCGACGATTGTTCAACACTTCCCTTCAAACTGGATGTAGAGGCCTATCATTTTATGTTCGCTTATAATATTATTAAATGAAGGATTATTGAATCCTTTGTTAAATACATCAATAGGTTGCCTTCCTTTTAGGACACAGAGTGTTGATTAAATCCACTTTATCTTTTCTTTTATTAAATGTCTATCCAGTTCAATATGTTTAATACGATCATGCAATATTGGGTTGTGATTCAAATTCAACATTAGATCTTGATACAACAATTTTTTTGTTCAATTTGTGTTAACTTCTATGCTTGAA